ACTTCACGCCCAGAACCCCTTGATCCCTTCCCCTACCTTTTACAAGCGGACGTTACCTAGTACCGTTCCTTTCACGTAATCCCCTTTATAGTTATTTATTTATTTAATTATTTATTATATATTATATATATCACAAACCTTCTTTTTCTCTTTGCAAGGAAACAAAGACCACAATGGACGCTGAGGAATCATTTCAAGCAGAGGGTTCTGGTGCACCGGAAAGTCCCGATCCAGTAGCCAAAAGGGAGGAAGGAGAAGAGGCTCTGCTAACGGATGAAAATGAAGAGGGTATTCCGTTGGAAGACGTAGATCGAGTTGGACGCCGTGTCGAACTGGCACTCTGTGTGCTCTATGTTGTGGTGGTGATGGTAATCTTCCAAGGTCCATTGAATATAGAGCCTACCGAACGTCCTATACCAGTGCAATATCTGGAATCTACTGGTGATTATATTCGAAACCTGAGTCTTGATGCAGAACACAATGGAGAGACCATTTCGGATTTTGTCCTGATTCTCTGTGGAGTGCTGCTTCCACTCATCTTCCAGCTGATTTTGGGATATGTTGTCCATCGGCATTCGGATGCTCTGAAAGGAATCCAAGATCGCCATTGCACACTGTGTGCCTACTTTACCTCTTTTGCCAGCAATCTCATGGTCACCGAGTTGCTCAAGGCATATTGTGGGTCTCTGAGACCTCTTTATTACTACCTTTGCCAGCCCGACGAGAAGTACGAAGTATGCTTGCAAGAAAGTGGAAGTTTGGCCCGAGATGCTCGCAAGTCATTTCCATCGGGTCATGCCAGCATTTCGTTTAGTGGCCTTGTATTGCTGACTCTGTACCTGAACCAAAAATACGGGACTGACAGTCTGCGCAACAACAATCCTCCACCACAAGTGGAGTATTACCGAGCCGTTCGCAAAGCCCGTTGTATGTCACTGGTCGCGTTGTTACCCATGGCATTGGCTCTGTTCTTTTCCTCCTCTCGGCTCCACGACAATGAACATTTTGCGGGTGATGTGGTGGGGGGAGCAGTCATTGGTTTTGCCATTGGCTACTACTTCCATACCAACATTTGGTTCTGTCGGGGATATCAGTGAGTGGTTATTTCAATCAGCAAAAGATGAGCGAATCATGCTTACAGGTGAACGAATGATGTGCCGCCATCGTTGTACATGAAAATATGGGACAGCCAATACTGGAATTGATCCTGCCGAAACAAGGTTTTGACGGCGGCACTACCCCTTGGAAGCAGCAGGGGATACAAAATGCTTCATATTGGAAAAAGCAACAATCTGGGCAGATAGCATTGCGGATCTTGAGCTGTTCTTTGAGCTGTACAAACGCAAAACGCATGGACTCATCCGTAAGGTCTTCCCGTAGCTATTAATTATTACCGTAGCAGCAACTATGATTGAAGATTCATCTTTCATTTTCGAGACATGACTCTGTAGCTACTATGCAGTACTGTGCATACTATTTTTCGTGTTTCTTTACTCTAAGCCACATCTGTGAGGAAGTGCCACTACGGTACATGCAGCTACCGGTACCATGGTACCAAGTACCTCTAGCTAGCTAGCGTTGCAGTTACGACTTTGGTCTCTCGAGAAGACCTCTGAAAAACAATAGCATCCCGGTCTCCTCTTCTTCATCAACACCACTGGCTTATCGTTAAACTACAGAAGGGTGAAGGTTTTTATTATTCACGATCCACCCAGCTGCTGGCTCCTTCACAACACAACGCCAATGGTGGCTTGACTATTTGAATGCAAACAAACGCCAAAAGATCCATCCAACTCTCACTGTTAGCATCTCCGTCGTCCTTTCCCAGCCATAAAAAGCAGCAAGTACTTGTGTGGAACCCTTGCTGAAAGTCTGATTGAAGAGACTGAGAGGCTTGTCTGACTGGCTAGCTAGACTAGTCTCACGTGTTTCTTTTTTTGCACCGGCTATCGTTCGCCTTCCATCCTTGATTGATTGATTCGATTCACAGTATGGATCCAAGCGGCATGAAGGGAGGTGGGAACAATCGCAAGAATCGCAGCCGCCGTGACGAAAGTCAGACGGAACTTCGACTACGCCAGCTGCGAGCTTCGGAAGGTCGCACCTTGCGTTCCACCAGTAATAACACCAACGCTGTTCGTCCCGAAGAAGCACCCTCTTCCATGAGTAATAATCGCCGTCGTAGTAGTAACGATCCTCCCGCGGCACAAGAATCCAACGCACGCTTTGCGGCGCGTCCCAACCGCAACGAAGAGGAGGAGGAGGAGGGAGGAAACAACAATAATGACAATCCTTTGCTGGCGGATTTGTTGCGTCATTTGCGTGAATACTGTCGCGACGGTGATCGAAAAGGTGCTCATGCCAGTGCGATCAATGTGGAAAAAGCACGCAATGTACTAGAAGCATGCGCTGGGAACGTGGCACTGGCGGGTCAATTGTATTGGGATGATTATTTTGCCTCGCAAATGCACGAACAACCCTTGGATGCTCCCTCTGGAGCAGCAGCAGCAGCAGCCCCCGCGGAAGAGGAAAACAATCCGGAGGAAGAAGAGCCTCAGGGTGTCCGTCGTCGACTGGAGAGTGATTTTGAACGATTACTTCCGGCCGCTCGTCTGGATGCACCTCAAAAACTCCCGTCCAAAAGACGCCGTCGAAGACGACAACAACGACAAGAAGCGGGCGAACCACCCGCAAATGTGGCTGTTGCCGCAGCCAATAACAACAACAACAATAATGGAAATATTCCCTTGGAAGATGGACCCGCCGCTCGTCTTCGGCGTGCACCACCACCACCACAACCCGAAAATAATATCATCCACAACCGGGCGGCTGTGGCGGTCGCTGCGGAAGATGCGGCTGGAGGAGGAGAAGCCAGTGTATCCGTGTCCGACGATGAAGCGGGTGTGGGAGGTTTGCGAATGGTCCGCGCTAGAAATGGCGCTGCCACGGCCAAGAATCGTTCCCGCCGTCGTCGTCGCAGCTCCAGCGAAGAAAATAATAGCAGTGAATTGAACCGGGCACGGGAAGTGCTGTATGCACAAATTAATGCCGCCAACGGCGAGGAGGAGTCCGAACGGCGCAAGCGGTACCGTGCCGCTGTCAAGAGTGGCAGTGGTGACGGCGATGGAGGAGACGACGACGACAGTAGTGGAAGTGACAAGGACGAAAGTGACGACGACGCCTACCTGAGTGAGAATGACTGGCTCTTCAATGCTCCCAGCCGAAACAATGCGGCAATGCCACCAGATGCGTCTTCGTCGTCTGCCTCTCAACCCGTCCAGAACTTGAGGGCACCACTGAAAATTCTATGGGGAGGTCTCATCCGTACACCTGCGGCCACTGCGAAAAAGGTAAACATCAAAATGGAAGAGGACGATCCAGAAGAGCCCGCGGAAAAAAAGATGCAAAACAGCAGCAAAGTCAAAGTCGAAAATGACGAGAGAAACAAAAGTGGAGACGGCAGCGCGGATGACAATGACAACAACAACGCCAATGATGGTGATGAAGAGGCCGCCGCCAACAACAACTTGTCCTCCAAGCGTCCTGAAATTCCTAGCACGTGGTTGCACGCTTCGTTTTCCACTCATCCTTCCGCAATGGGATTGGCCATCAAGAAACCAAAGGTCGAGGATGTAGCGGAGCATTCGTGGAAACTACAGCAGCTAGGCCCAGATCCTTCTGCCGCGAACCGCCGTAGCAACGCCGTGCCCTTGCCTTACCACTGTCGGTCCATGACAGCTGTTCTTTCCATTGTTACCGCCATCATCTACACGGGTGCTTCGATTCAGTCGAATCAAGTTACTTGCTCTACAAGGGTCCCCTTTCTAGAGTTGTCCGAAGAGGAACGGACTCGACAATTCGATGATCGACTGGTGGATGCCCTTGCCGTCCTGATCTTCATTGCAGCCAAGGCGAGCAAGGAACGCAAGAAGAAAGCTTTGGACAAGCAGCTAGCTCGAAAGAAGCGGAAAAAGAAGCGACAAAAGAGAAAGGAAGCTGGTGATGATGGCGGACTGGTGATGGAGGATGATGAGCCCGATGCGCTGCAGCAGACTCTCGAACGAAAGCTGAAACTCTGCCCCGTGGCATGGTGGAAAGAGAACCCACAGGGTGTTGTTAACCTGCCTTCGGAACAGTGGCAGAGTTCCCTAGATGATACTTCGCACACTGGGCCCCGTATTCAAGTGGGCGTGAGTTACAGTAACCTTGGCGACATTGGGGCGTACGTTCTAAGCAACCTGCAGTCATTTTTAGCTCCTGGGGGGTTGGCTTTGTTTCTGGAGACGATTGTGGGCATTCACGGCGAGGGAGCAGTCAAGAGAATGATTGAGAAATCGCGAAAGAATGCAACCGACTCGTGCAAGGGAAAATTCCTTGTCAAGTGCTCTTGCGAAGAACGGCAAAGGAAGCGACTCCAGGATGCGTCCGAAAGGCGAAAGCTGATGAGCTCGGTGGACACGACACCACCTGGGAATGATTGTATCAGTATAGAGCTCATCAGTTTGCTACTGACAGGAAAGGTTCAGTCCTCATGGAAGGGCTGGAGTACTGATCAATTGGGCTTTGGCATTCTTTCGCGCACATCAGGAGAAGTGGGTCAATCCTTGAACTGCCCAGAATTGCCTGTGTGGCTGTTGGCGGGAGAGACTTGCTTTTCTCTTCTGGCTCTTGATCACACCAATCACGGCGAGAACCTGGATGAGGAGAGAGTCTCGAAGTCGTCTCTCGACGAACCTGGAAAGAAGAAAGAAAAGAAGAGCAAACAGTACTTGGGTCCATCGAAGCCCAAAGCAGCACCCTGTATGAAAATGTCGCTTTGCAGCAACACGAGTCGCAGCCGGGATCGTCAGGAAGTACAAAATTTTTCCAAGACGGACCAGCCAGGCGCGATTGTGAACTTGCTGCATTGGAATTGTTGGTTTGCGGTGCGAAACCAGTCAGGTATGTCCCGTTTGTCGGTTTCCATCTAGCTAGTATTACAGAGTTTCAAAGCATTATTCTTACACTTTTCCCTTGCGACGCACAGGTCTTCGTCTGATTACAGATCGGCCCAAGTGGAGTCCTCCGACACCCTCATGGGTTCTGGCCCACTACAAGTCCGCCCCCAATGCGAAACATTCTTCGTCGCTATCGTGTGTTCGCAAGTCAGCAGCTGAGCAGCTTCAAGAGCGACGAAGTGCCCTTGTCAACGTAGTGAGCTGCGATGAAAGGGACCGTTCATCGCAGGCACCCAAGGTTGACGAAGGTGCAATGGAACGCGTTCGCTCCAACGATGACGATGTGAAGTTTTATCCGGGACAGTATCGAATGTGGAGGTTTGATATGGGCAAAGAAAACGAAGAGATCGACCCCAATTCGAAGCCGCGTGGTGATCATTGGGTTCCTTACTTTTCTTTAAGCCGTGATGATCAATCCATTGTGGAGATGAAGTTTGGTCCTCAGATCAATCGCATTCTGTGGACACGGTGGCCTTCTGCCACAATTGACAAGTTCACGCCCGCAGGGAAGACAGAAGCTCTGCCCGTCGTTTAGTGGTCCCCTACAGCTGTGTGTTTCATGTATGCGAAGTCTATACTAAGTAGCTTTAGGATGGCGTCAAAGGAACTAGTCCAATGAATAATGAGTCAATGCTATATAGCCCCGGTTTTGTGGCTGTCTGTGTCTTCTTCTTGTTTGACCTTTGCTGCTGGCTTCTTGCCATTTTGGGATTGATCTCCACCCAACCACTTCTCTATGGCCACATTGCTGACCACTTGATCCGCTGGCTGCGCCTTTGAACCATCGTCTCCGCCTTCTGGTTTGCAATACGATGCAATGAAAGCAAGGAACTCTTCTTGTCGAGTTTCTGTCATGCGAGACTGTAACTCATCTACCATTAGATGAATTTCCACAGGTTCAGTGGGCATAGTGTTCATGATTTGCAACGCTTCAGCTTCGGTCAAGCCAAATCCAGTCAGAGAAGATTTTAGTTCTCCGTTTTCACCATCATCGTCGTTTTCCCCAGCTTCTCCTGCTGACGACGACAACGCAACCTTCTTGCGACTTTTTAGCTTGTCGTGGAATTCCTGTCTTCGATTGGGGTCCAGCTTGACGCAAGGTGTGGTGGTCAAATACCGATGAACTTCTTCTTCTACCCAATCTCGATGCCGAAAGTGTTTATTGCGTTTGTTGTTTTTCTTTTTGGGAGCAGCCTTGGCTCGCTCCTCCATATTTTTCTTCAAAAGTTCCATCACTTCCACATTGCTGATCAGCGTGGGACTCCCGGTATCCCCATCCACCAATTCCATGGCAAATCCTCCCTTTCGGGTTGCTTCTTTTTAATGCTGGCTCTTAACGAATATTTGCTTTGCTATCTGGGTACCAATTTTCCCAACCAGAGGGGACCTTGTTTCAGCCTTCGCTATCTGGTGTCTTGTTGGTCCATAACTACCGGTACCGTGCAATGTAAATCAGGAGGGTCTGGATTGTGGGTTTCGCAAACGTGGCCAGGACTCTGCTGAATGGGTTTGCCTGTACCTATGCTGCGACCCTGTACGCCTCTCTCTGCAACAACTTTCAATTCTCTGCCGTCGCAGTCTTGAAGGGGTTCAGTGGTGATTGTGGGGCTCAGGTTGTTTCTCTTTGGGTGGCTGTGGGGGTCTGTTGTTGTGGTGGTGTGAGGTTGGGCAGGATCCATTGCCACCACCCGCATGCAAATTGAATCGAATGATTCGATTCGATTTGATTCAGTACAATCGAATGATTTGGTTCAATCGATTGATTGTGCTTCGACCCCCCACAGCCTACGATACGGTACGAGTACGATTTCTAGTAAGAGTTCTCTCCCAGGACAAACAATCGCATGTTGGCAGAGATTAGGGCCAGCCTCAGAGGGTGACGAGCCTAAGAAACTGTGCAAGGCAGCTTGCGAATGCTATCAAAACGGGCATTGTTCCGACCGGTAGCTACCGCACTACTGTTGTAGCCGTTTCTTGGCTTTGGTCAATCAGTGACAGCCGTACCGCCGATGTACTCACATCGTTACGAAGGTCCATACTCGCACCAACGCACCAACACTGACGGACTGGATCTTTCAACGAAAGATAGATGAATGATCATTCAATCGAAACGGTGGGATCGAAAGACCGTTTCTTCAAAAACGGCAGGTATACCGACCCTTTCCGTCGCAGTTTGGAGGGCCATTTCAAGCTCTCACAAAATCCAATCGAACACGGAAAGAACAACTTCGCTCTCATCACGCTTGCTTCTTCGAACCAATCACTAGCATCATGATCAAGTCTTTGCTCGCCGCCCGCTCCATGAACAAGTCCAACAGCGACAACGAAGCGCCGAAATTCGTCTTTCCCTATGGCCATGGCACTTCAATCGATGAGCATGCCGCTAGTTTTGATGACCAACGCGTCAATAAAAACACTTCGCCTACCAACCACACCAGCAAGAACAAGACACGAAAATGCTTTACCTGTGGCGAACAAAAGGCTGTCACGCAGTTTCCCATGTCTGTGCGCAAGTCTCGAGTCTGTCGCTTTTGCGTGAGTTTGGACACTCGAGGGCTTGACTTGATGGGCATGTCTTGCGAAGGCAATGCGTCTCTGAAGTGCACCTTTCTGGAGGAAACGTCTCCGCACAACTCTCACCGTCGTGGTTCCAGCGCGGAGAGTGCCAAATTTGTCCTAAGCGAGACGGCCTCGGAAGGATCTGGTGAATATGCTCATTCCTCCGGAGATTTCGTCTTCGTCTGAGGTGGTCGAAACTAGCAATAGGTGGAGGGTGGAAACACGGCGAGAAAAAGAGGAAATGGCAATGTAAAATATTCAGTAAACTAAGCCAAACGAGTTGGAAACCAAAGTCGATCTACACACATAGCTCCATCTAAAACTAGGAATGCCTTGAAAGCTCTAACGTTCGTGGATCATTTCAACCAAGTACATCTAGTGGTCCTTCGGAAGCTTTAGACCACGCCGTGGAATGTTATGCTATCCGCGACTTCGGTTGCGTTTATCCGTGACTCCAGAATGCATCCGAAGATCCGAAGCCACGCTTCCGAAAGAAGATCATGCTTGATGCAGAGTAGCAAGGAGACCATCAACATCACAGTTGCCACAAAACCACGATATGTTACTTTTGTCAAGATGTCGTCTTTCCAACGAGCCATGTTCCTTGGCGGTGTCCCGTCCCTCTTCATGTTTGTGTCGACATGCATTGGGCTTGGTAGGGAGGTTCCAGACGACATTTCTGGAGCCCTTCAACATTTTGCAGCAGGAGTTCTGTTATGTACAGTGGGGACTGAGCTGCTTCCAGAAATTGTCGATGCAGAAGGGTGGATGGAAAACATTGCTGCATGTATAGGATTCTTTCTGGGTGTTGCTGTTCTGATCCTTATTGGGATGTTCGCCCCTGAAGAGACGGGGTTGGAGCCTGCTCTCGGGGAATCTCCGCGTCATAATGAACACAAGGACGAAAATTGTGCCAATGCAGATGATGATGTGGACGACATTTTCCGACTGCGAGAAATGAAGTTTGTCATTGCAGGCCGTAAATTCCGCCAACGGCAAACTCTGCGGACCTTTGGTGGCCGGTTTGTTTTGAACAGATCCATGTCCCTAGATTCTTCCTTACCTGCAATGGACGAGAATGAACCATTACTCTTTGAAGACTTGTCATCTTCGTACATGGAAAACAGACCATCCAAGCCAAAGGACACTGCCCCCAAGAAAGAAGCAAGAGAACCCATGATGATGAAGCAATTTCCTTTGAGTTTTGTCTTTGCCGTGGCTATTGACTCGGCCTTGGACGGCCTATTGATTGGCATTGCTTCGGCTGCAGGACCATCTGCTGGCCCAATGATGTCAGCCAGTCTCTCGGTGGAAATGTCCTTCTTGGGAATCACTCTTGCAACCACACTTTCGGGGCAGCCATTTTCGAGAGCATCTATTGCGGCGCTAGTCGGACCGCTCTGCCGTAAGTTCCCGCGTTCTGTGGTCAGAGCAGAGCTCCCCCATTGTTTTCTTGCACTGGCAAGAATCTCACCTCTAGTGTCGTTTGCTGCTGGTTCTTCTTTGTGACCCTGACCTCGTTACCTCATTCATTATAATATATCATAGTTGTCATGGCTGCAGGCTTGGGTGGAATGATGGCGGATACGCTAAGTCACAATCCAGTGGCGTTTGTGGGAATGATATCGTTTGGCGCCAGTGCTCTGCTGTTCATGGTAGCCGAAGAGTTACTGTTGGATGCTCATGAGGACGGAGAGCATGTCTGGTGGGTGGATCTGCAACTCTACACTGGTTTCTTCGCCAGTATCATTGCAAGGAAGCTGGCTCGGTGATGGCTGTGCACTGGCTGGACCCTGCTACCGAATAGCACCGTACTGCTATCAACTTGTAAATACCGCTATTGCCCCATTGGGCGAGGATACCCAAGATATGAATATAGGTACCGTCCGTGCAATCTGACCAAAGCGAGGAGGTATGGTACGGCTCCGTTATAGCTCGACGTGGGGACTTGGAGGCCGCCTTTTAAAGTTAGTTGTTGCTAGTAATGGCTAGGCTTGGCGATATTTCCACCACGTCCAATGAATGAACCATTCAAGCATGAGCATTCTCGCAGAAAACATGTACCACTACAAGTATGCTGCCAGGATCATATTCTCGTGTTCAAGAATGAGCCGCATTCGAACAAGCCCACAAAATATCCTGTAATTTTTGCCTAGCTTTTGTTATGTACCCCTGCCTTTCTTGTCGTCTATACTGGCTCCTACCGTACAGTATTCTCAAACTAAATTGGTCTAGCTTTGAAATGCATGTTGATCAGAGATAAGACCAGGCATTTCAGATCCTGTGTCAGGAAATAAAATGTTTTCAAACCCTCTGGATCTTTGGACTTTTGAATATCCACCAGGGATCCAATTTCGGGGCACGTGAAGGAAATGTGTTCATTTCGAATTTTGATTTCAAGCTCTTGACAGCGAGCGCGGGGTTCTTCCCAATTTTTGTCGTCCATTTGGGTAATGCCACTCTCGGTAATGATTCGCTTGAATTCTTCCGTGACGGCGGGCCCCACAAATACTTCTCTCCGTACCATGGATTTTTCGTGTTTGTAATTGGAATTGTTGGCGTACCGCAGTTTTCCCGAGGGATGCAATTCGAGTTCCAAGAATTCGTGTCCAAATTGACCTCGATGGCCGACATAGTAGCGAACGTAGAATTCATCGTTATGGGCCGTGGCGGCTGACATGGTAGTCATTGTGCTGCCGGATGGAGTAGTATCGAAAGGACAACTCGAGCTAGCAAGCAACGGTGGTCAACCTAATCAAGCGTATCAAAGGTATTGGTACCAGTGGTATCAAGGGTATCGGTATCAAGGGTAGCTTATTCAGGGTATCTTATTCAGGGTATCTTTGTTGTCACACTCCAGTAGGGATCGCAGATGGCAAAGGTATCAAGCCAAGTCAGAAGTCTCAGAGATGGAAGATCTTCCGGAAGTGCACCTTTTGTCTAAAAGGGTGTTCTGGGTTGGACGTTATTAGTAGCCTGGTTCGTCAGTACTGTATCTACATACGTAAGCCGGCTGGGTAGGGTACATCGTATCCATGTTCTCAAATGCAGTATCGACAAACAGCTGCGACAACAAAAAGGCCAATGATGTCGTTCGCTCGAGCGTGGTGGTCACAATTCCGCTCTGCATGACTTCTGTTTGATGGCCTCACATCATCGCCAACATCAAGAAGGGTGTATCAAGAAGCCCAATCTGAATTAGCCGTTGCTTTTTTGCACAATCTGGATTTGGATGCGAGAGCTATTGGGGATGCCAATAGCTCTTGTTCTTTTATTCTTGTTGTACCCTCCGTGAAGGTCCTGCCTCGATTGTTACGCCTTGTCTGTTTTGTGGTTGTTCTGTGGGAGTGTTCCTGTCTATCTATCTGTTGTTCTATCTGTGCTGTTAGTGAGGTATTATAGAGAGTGCCACACTAGACTAGCTATCTAGATTATATTATATTTGCCCGCGATGACTACCTCCACGACGGTAGTACCCTCTCGGGAGGATCGCAGGGCAACCAAAAAGTGGCTGCCGCCTCTGCGAACCATAGAAGAAGTGACCAAACTGTTGAAACCGGACAACGGTCCTCGATTGAACGAAATTAAACTCTGTTGGCGCGATCCACAACTGCAGGATATGCGCAATCCGACCAGTTCCAGTGCTACCAGCAAGGCGGTTCTTCACAAAAAGAAAATTGCCGCCTTGGAAAAGGCACTCAAGAAAAGTCCCTCCAAGATTGAACGTATTTCCGTGGGATGGAAGCATGGAGATCAACGCAAATCGGTTATTCAACTCTTGCAAGTCTTTATCCATCAAGCCAAAGCTCCGGCATTGCAACAATTGCAATCCATGGAATTGGTATTGGTCACTTGGATTCCAGATACCGTATTGTTGCAGTTGCTGCTACCCCATGCCCACAAACTCAGATCGCTGCACATTCAAGCCACACGCATCAAGGTACGCACCAAACCCAAAAAGATGGTTTTCAAGAATACCTACCAGAGCGTCCATGCCGTCGATTCCGTCGTCTTGCAAGAAGAATCCGCCGCCAAGATTCTGGCCACTCCTCGATTGGCGGATCAATTGACCAACTTGACATCCCTCAAGTTTATCGATGCCGATGTCTTGGATCCGGAAGTCAACATAATTGTGCGATTTTTATGGCGTCATTACAGCCGCCATGGGATTGAACATCTCAGCCTTCGATCCAATCGACACATGACCCCCGCGGCTTTGAAACAAATTTGTCAAGCACCCGTGTCCAAGACACTCGATCTGAGCTTGTGCAATATCAAGATACTCGGTGCCAAGGCGATTGCAGATGCGTTGGGCAATGGCGACAGGAACAAGAACCACAGTTGGAGGCAACGTCACGGCATTATATTGCAAGAATTGGCACTCTGTGGCAATTATCAATTGGACGAACAGGCACTCATACACCTCTGTCAAGTCTGTCCGTATCAAGTCCGACATTGGAACCTCAGTTACTGCGACATGAACGAACACAAGTCGTTGGTTGTCTTGAGAGAACTGACGCCAGCATTGGTGAGGAAGGACTGTCCTCTGACGGAATTGACCCTGCAGGGCAGTCGCATCAACAATTCCGAAGCGTGCAGATATATTCAACATATTTTGAAATACAATCGGTCCTTGACGGCACTGCGACTCGATGATCCCAAGTATCCGCACTACTTGCCCTCGAAACCATTGCTCGAAACGATCGTTCAAGGCCTGCATCATAACTATGGCGTCCAAGAACTGACATTGGATGTACGATGGATTCGGTTGTATCATAATCATGGTCCACCGGCCGATCCCATTCAGAACGAAATGGACTTTTATCTGTACTTGAATCGAGCGGGTCGTAAGCTGCTGCAAGCCAACGATGACAATTTGCTTCTGCATAGCAAGGAAGCTTGGATTGAGACACTCGTCAAGGCTCGGCACACGGGACGCATGGATGTCCTCTACTGGCTGGTTCGAAATGGTGTCATGCACTTGTTTTGAGAGGAGGACAACAACAAATTGACGACAGCACCAGATCGACGACAACATGTCTGAACAGAAAAGAGATTCCAAAAGGTGACACGACAAACAGCAACGCAGCTGCATGCATCAATCTTCAGTAGAGCGTGCATGCACAACTCAAAAGGCGACACAAACAGGAATAACCTCAAGAGCTGGATTTTACTCATGAAGATGGCAGAGGCAAACCGACACAAGTAAAGGACCACAAAGCAAAGGACAGTTGCACTCATTTGGTTACAAGCCCTCGTCAGGTAATAGAATACTAAATCTAGAAGTAAGTAGTAGTGGAAACCAGTTGCATCAAATGTCGTCAGGCAATAGAATTCTAAAGCTAGAAGCAGTAGTGGAAAACTACATGTAGGTGCATGGAACGTCAATGCCGTTGCCAACTAGCTCCTTATTGCCATTTCGGTTTCGAAATAAATTCTCTACATACATCTTTTGATAGACCGCAAGCTAGCTGATGTACACAGCCATCATGCCACATGACTGCCTATGATATCTACTCGGCAACCAGTCTAGCAGTAGCTGGTGGATATCCACTGAGGCTTCCTTCTTTAATAAACCGTACCTGGTACCAGCCACCTGAGTGCTCCGAGTTTGTGCCTTGTTTCAAATTTGACACACACTTTTCGAAAGAACCAGCAGAAGGGAGGGGGTATCAACAGTATTTAATACCTTTCCAGTTTTATCTTCGGAAGAACTGGATCATGGACTGGGAAGGGCTTCTCCAAGAGTTCAGTTCCAAAATAATGAAATGGCAACTGTCTTCATCTTGCTTTGAACAGGAATGCGGGAATACCTTTTTTGCGGTATTGTCTGGTTTCAATTTCCTTTTTTAGAAGATAAATGCAAAATCGAAGACGGACTGAAATTGAAGAATGACAGAATGTGGAAACAGTAAAGTTACCGGCACGTACCGTACCGTACCGTACCGTAATCCGGAAGAGGGGAATGGAAGTTTTCTGGAATTCACCATTCAAAGTACAAATTTACAGTTTAGTGCCCATTCCCCGCACCACACCACACCACACATAGCGCCTGATTTGATTCCCGTGCGATGTAAGTACGACTGACCGGGTTGTCAGCATCTGCGACTGGGTTGGCTCTCAAGACACCCCCGCCGCCTACAGGCTCGGCTGAAAACCCTTCATGCAGGCAAGACAGTAATCGAAACGGACACGGAAAGCATCGATTATTACAAGAGCACCTTCGGCAACCGGAATCCCAATGCTACCTGGCTAGCTAGCTAGCCACTCCTGCTAAGCTCATATATTCTCATCTCACAACAAGAACAATCTCACAAAATCAACTTACAATAGCAGGCACAATGCAATCCCAAACTCCTCACTTTACCCCACGCAAACAGACTGACACTGTGCTCTCTGCACAACGACGAAAGTTCGTCGCCAGACAAAGAGCAGAACAAGACGATAGCCAGCAAACAAACACTAGCCCAATCTGCGAATATAATGCGATCGATAGGATGCGTCAACATGTTCGAAAGAATCTATCTGGTAAGGCTACAACCGCCGTGAGACCAAGAAGGCGCTCCAAACTTCAAGTGGGTCCCTCCGCCGAGATGCCCGTACCTCATGCCAACAGTACCAAGATGCACCGCCGCCAATCTAGAAGAGCATCCCTTATCCTACGAGAAGACAGCGAGCTGAAGTTTTTGACCACCAGTGGATCCTCTCTTGGCTCCCATGGTAGATCGGATCGACGAACCAGACGCAAGAGGCGCACAAATTCAATCGTTCTTGGCAAGACTAGTTCACCGCCAGCGCAAAACTCGTCTCCTCGGTGCATGCGTCGAAGATCTGCTGTAGCCACCACGAAAGTGACTCCTCGAGCAGCGTCCCCTTTCTCCGAGGACAGGTTGATCTCGGACTTGAACACCAAGTTTGGGTTGGGCTGGTAGTCATACTTGGGCACGGTCTCCGCTTGGCTCCCGGGTGTCTTGGCAAAAAGGAGTTACTACTAAGCTACTAAAAAAGAACAACAAATTCGTCCAGACAGCGCAATAAGCAGACGGACATGTACAAACTACTAAAGGCGGATAAAGCACACACACACCGATTTGGATAGAATACTTCTGAAACTAGTTGGCTGCGGCGGTGCAAAACATTTGCTAAATGGTATTCATTACTGTTACAGCACAGCGCTACTCAATCGCGACGTTGCCCTTGGTTTTGTCGTCCTTGGTGAGCATGTTCTCACTCTTGCTAGTAGGACCATCTGGAAGACTTTGTTGTCGACGAGGTACCGGAGGGATGGGCTCTGCTCTGTACAGAACCGAGCCATCCTGTGCATGGTACTGAACTTTCATGGACAATGGCGTGGCCTGGATGGAAACAAATCCACCCGTGATGGTGAGACCATTGTCATGGTGCTTTTCCTGGTGGAAGAGATGCCACAGGAGTGGAACATCTTTGTAATCTTTTTCATGTTCCTGTCGATACTTGTTGCGTCTCCATGAACAACAAGCATTGCCAGTTCCCGTGACAATGTATCGAACTCCTCCACTGGCTGGAGCATTCTGCTGAAAATGCATCATGGCATGATCGTGCCCCGAGAGGTAGTGAGCACCATATTCCTCAAGGAGTGGTTTTAGATGCTGGACCAGTTCTTTTGTCGGTCCATGCATTCCTTGGCTAAATACAGGGTAATGGCCTCCAACCAGAATGTAGTCTGCCGTGGAGTCGCTGAGTGACTTTTGGAGCCACTGCCACTGTTTGGTTGTTGGTGGTTCTTTCTCGGTAGTGAATCCCAATGGAGAGCGCACCCAGGTGTCCCAAAGGCTTTCACTTTTGGCAGTGGCATTGGGTTCTAGTAAGAACGCCGATTCTACCAGATCAACCGTATCAATCAGAATGAGATCCACGGAGAGATGCCCTCTTGTAATCGTCCGTTTGTGATACAAGGAAGGAAACTCCCATCGGTGATGAAAACCCTCCTCTGTCTTGCTTTTGCGGCGCGAATAGTAGGTATAATGTATCTGTTCCGTCACATTCCCATAGTGGTCGTGATTGCCAGCGATGACATACCATGGAACACGGGCTAATCCAGCGCCATTGTAGACATTCTCAAACGTCTTTTCCACTCTTTGGAATGCTTGTTGTCCGGAGATTCCTTTGAGATAAAAGTTGTCTCCCAAGGCAACCACAAATTCAGGACGTTGGTCCATCGCCACCTTGTTCATTCCATCTGCAACCTCTCGTTGATGGACTCCAATGAAGAATTCTGCTCCTGGGATGGACCCCACGCCTCCCCAGTCCCCAATGGCAAAGAAATTCAAAATCGAGTGTTTCTGTTGTGGTTGTGGTTGGGACGCTACTACTGGGACGAGAAGAAAAGCCAGGGCTACAACTGCACGCATGCTATTACGAGAGAAACCAAAGGAGGCGTAATTCATCATGGTCGCAGGAAGCCTCGAGCCACAAGACACTCGTCGTATGGCACAAATCAGTATCACCAGTCCGGGTTCGGTTGGGCCATTGAGTTGTAGCGGTGGTTGTGCGTGTGCCAATGTTGCCACTGTTGCCGTTTCATTCTCGGAGGTCACGCCACTCCAACACGACTGGACATGCTGTATGTTGAAGCAGACAAACCGGCTTGAACCAAAGAACCGCTCTAAACCTTTCTCTTCCACATCCCAAGCTAGCTAGCTACCGGTAGCGAGGAGATAGTCAAATGGTTAGAAGGCATCTTTGCATTACGTATGATCATTGAGCCACTGCTCCCTCCCCCATAGCCCACAGAGGTCTCGTGGAATTAGAGGCCTCTTTGCTAGTAGAAAGCTGCTGGTTGGTCAGCTCCATCGAATGGATGCTGAGCATCTTTGGTTTCAGCTCCTGTTTCTGTAAAGCAATGGTGGAATGAATTTGCGAAAATTGAAAATTGAAAATTGAAAAAGTGAAAAAGGGCACTCATCACCCAGCCGATCTTGGACGAGGAAAAAGAGGGGCTGGATCTCGCTAAGTTTCATATTGATAGTACTGAAATTTCTATATACATGCGTCAAACTCCAAAAAAAGACTAACTTTCTCTAAGTAATCTTCGTTAGTGTACAATCGTCACAGTGAATTCAAATTTTGTCACCTAACTCTCGTATGTCAGTTGGAGTCTTGTGGAATGCTCGAAGACTTAGCGACGTACCTCCTTTGTCACACCATACCTTCCTCACAATTTCGTTTCCGTAGAGGTTGAGGTTTGCGACATTGAAGCATTGTTGAAGTCTTGTTGGGAGCCAACAGTTGAAGCTATCATTACAACTACAAAACTATGAGAATCAACACTAGTGAAGTCTTTTCAAAGTGGTTGCTAGATAAGAGCTTTTATCCCTACAATGAGTTAAGGGCTACCAGGTACAGCTTTGAGTGCAGGTATGTTTTGCTGGAAGCAGGAGAGGTCCAGCATCCCAGTTTCAGGTCCTTGAAATGTGTGGCAGTAAGTAGCTTTGACACTCCCAGCTTGGAACAACTCATCATGAGTGGAAGTGCCAAGCCCATGACTCCTGATATGAGTTGCATCCTTGACAGCTTGGAATCTTGGGGATATTTCCATAACATTGAGTGGTACAGTATTGTCCTTGACATGCTAGCCACCATGTTTGAAGAGGAACAACCTACAAGCAAGGAGAAGATGTACAAGCAGTGTATTTACTGGAGAGTTAGAAGCAGGGCACATGCACATGAAAACTTTGAGTATGACTCTCTTGGTCATGATGCAGTGATGACTTACTGGTCTGACTGGTTTGACAGGACCTATCCAATTGTCAAAGTCTCCTTCAGGGTAATGACACTGATGAGTGAGGATTTTGTTAGTGACATCATTACTTATGTGGAGACAAGAGGAATTGTTCCTTTCCCTCCCAACATGGATGGACCTGATTCCATTACTAGCTCTGAAGATTGAGAGGGGAGAAAGTCTTTGTTGGTGTTTGATATCCAAGTAGTCAACCAGTAGTGAAAACAGTAACAACAATAGTCAAAACTTACAAGCAGGAACCAAAGTGTACCAGTTTGCCTTCAGGGAATCCTTGTGAGGTTGCTTCTTGCAAGACTCTCCCCAGCCATCATTTGGACCATGACAATCCCTTCTCTCAAAGCAGTGGCCACACCAGGTCCTGACACAATTCTTTCCTGCCTTTTCTTCCTTAGCATGATCCTTTCTCCTATGAGCGCACACCTCACAGAACATCCTCTTCCTAAATTTCTTAATCTTCTTTGTGGGTGGCTCTGCTGGTGTTTCATGCACCCTAACTTGGAATGGAACAAGTCTGTGCTGCACATTGTTGACTGTGGCAACAGGAACATCCTGAAGAACACCTGCAGCCACTTCAGCATTCAGAGTTGTTGGATTGGCAAAGGGGGTGATACCATTCCCATGGTAAACAGTCCTGACAGTTCGCTCAGCAGCAAGGCCAGGTTCCAAGCGCCTTCTGTTTTCAGCCAAGGTGGCATCAAGCAACACTCTCTGCTCATCATTTGGTCCTGGCAAAATTGCTTGCAGGCCGCTGTTTTCAACCAAGGCATCATTGTAGGCTTGCAACTGGATGATACTTTTCTGGTTGATTTGGATAATGGACTCATCTCCAGTGCTCCACAACTGGAAGCGGCGAGCTGCTTCAATATTCCAGTCTCGCTCGAATGTCTTGTAGGAGGTAGCGCCAGTGTTGGCATTCCTGTTGTAGCGACTCTTCCATTCCTCGAAAAGATTGGCTTCTTCTCTTTGAATTTGGGTAGCAGCACAAGCACTGTTCGGCATTCGAAAAGGAATCCACATCGCTTTGTCAGTCAACCGCGAAAAGGCCGTGAGTGTGGTTTCCTTGGAGTAAGAATCGTTTATTGGCAGAAGGCTGTTGATCTGGTGTTGAATGAGGGAGCGATTGTCTCTGTCACGGGCATTCACAGTATCTTCGGTATCATCCAACCGGAGAGCTTCCATAACAGCTGGATCATCCACTAGGCCAACTGCTTGCTGGTACTCTTCTTCACTGGCGAAAACTTCAATATCCATGTCATCGCCAAGACGTTCACTTAACAGTGCCATCTCCCTTTGTTCTTCCTCTTGGGAATTGTCCTGTGTGGAAGCAGCTGCCAAGTTCTCATACCCCGGTAAAACCTCTGCATCATCGTCTTCTGCTTCCAGAACGGTATGTCGCCCCTGTAGATCTGTTGGATTAGACACATCGTGCATGTTAGTTGGCATGCAGTACTGGAAACCCAAGAATTCTTTGGGATTCGATGACTTGACAAGTGGAGCGGCAACATTGGAATAGGGAAGATCCTTTTCAGAGTAGCCCACAGCTCTGGCAACACTCCTGATAAGTAGGAGGCGCTCTGTCTGAGCAGTGAATAGCTCTTCTTCTCCCAATCGGATAACACCTCTGCGCTGGTTCCTTTCTTCAAAGAAGTTGCCTATAAGTCGCTCAGCGCGATGTATTCCTGTAAAAGGATAACAGGTGTCAGTTGCCAAATACGCGACCTCAACTGGATCATTTTCAATAACAACTTACCAACATGAGTCGCCGCTAGGATCAATCTTGCCAGATCCAAATTGTCTGTTTCATTGGTGTTGGTTCCCCTGGCGACATGGCATTTTCCAGTAAGAGGATTCAACCTGAAGATGTTGATAATCGCTGGATCAGGATCAGAAAGGCAACCACAATCAATATGTGAGAGTTGTCTTTGGATGAGTTGGCGAACTGTTGCCGAATTCTTTAAAAATCGTTGTGGCATTGGTCGTCCATCGTCAGCTCTTCTTGTTGCTATGGTTGCCTCAATCTCAGCATCCTTGGATTGCACAAACCAAATGACACGTTCAACATTCTCTCGAAGGATGGAAGGAGGAGGAATGCATGTGTTCGCTTGGCGAAGAATTTCCTTTGTTGTGGGCTCTTCCTTTCCCTTGTCAATCAGGAACTGTTTTGCTCTCTCGAATTCGCTTGGCTCAACCATGAAAACAGCCCTCCTCAGAAGTCCACGGACCACTCCAGCTTGTGCACTTGTTGGATTCTGGAATACATCATGGAACCTCTTGAACCAGTGAAACACGTCCAACAAGACCAAAGCCCCAGGAAAGCAACGTCGGACGATATTTCTGCAGTTGCAACAATTATCAACATATACCCCTTTCACCGATTGCTCTGCTGGACCAAATAATGGCTTGTTCAAAATCACAGCAGCGATGTCTTGAGGCTCCACATCCAGAAGGTCAGCACGCACAGCTTCGTATTCTTGGTGGTATTTCAGTCGAACTGCAGCTTTTGATACTTGCAGGTTTCTGTTCAGTCTGTGTCGAAGCCGAATCAGATCTTCCTTGATTTCGCTGAATGACTCGCTGTGTTTCAGAGCCTTCCAGAAAACTGTCATGGCATCTTCATTCTGAATGGTAACAATACACTTGAAAGGAGCGAAGCTTTGCCCTGCCTTTGTCCAGACATGTATCTTCTTGGCCAGCTTGTAGTTAAAGTCAATCTTAAGCAAGCGACCACACAACCCCATCATTTTGGCTTCTTGGAAACTCTTGCGGTGGTGAAAGACAGTGGTAACGATGCAATCAACCCTGGACTTAGACAAAAAGTGTCCATTGTAGGCTTTCCTTTCATCAAACTTGGAAAAGTGGGGGATTCCGTCACCAGCCGGAATGGCGGAATCCTCAGGTTCTGCTTCTGATGCCTCTGGGTTCGCAGCAACATAGTCCTGCACAGCCTTCACTGCAGCTTCATGCTCCTTTTTCGTATTCTCTAACTGGAGCTTCAATCTGTCATAATTGTCTTGCAATTTCTCCATGTGACCAACACAAATAGATCTCCATTTCTTCAATAGTGCCGGTCTGATGGGAATGTCTGCACAATCGTCGGTGTCCACGTCGATTAACTCCTGCACTGTGTCGATCCCTACTTCAATGAGACGTCGTAGCTTTGTGCTACCAAGACCTTTCAGAACGTTCTTGGAACCATAAGTGTTGTTGTCGTCCTTCGATAACAGTAAATCCTTGAACCGCAAGTCAAGATCCAGCTTTCTCGATGCGGTGCCAAGGCACAGGCGAACGTTGGTTTCTGACTGGGACTTCTCCATCCTGATGCGCCGTAGACCACCAAGCACAGTTGTTGCCGGTGTAATATTCACCAGCATTCCCTCCAGTGTTGATTTCTTGTTGGGACGAATCTTATCAAAGCCCCTCGCTGTTAGAAACAGTAAGTGATCGTCATAGTAGGCGGCGTATGCCTGCTTCTTGAGTTTCTTTGCTATCACCGCTGTTGAGGTAGCGGCAGAATCTTCCACTATCTGCCGGTGCAATTCCTCGTCAGCTGCGAATTTGTCACCTAGGAAGAAATTGAAAAAGGCGTTGTAGAGATCTGCATCCAGCTGCATGGATTGCTTGTTGTAGCCAGTAAAACAGCTCCTGCATCGGCTGCACGGATACAGTTTCGTGTCAAGATATCGGTGTCGCGAGACACCAAAGAGTACCTTGGGTGTGTTGATCCATCTGCACTTCGAATTCGTCACAGAAACACAGTCGTTCTTCTTGCATTTGGGGCAGTGTGGTATATGGTTCTTGAACAACAGGTGAGGAACCCATACTGCGATTCCTCTCACATAGAAGGCTCCCGCTGGCACTTTCTTGCTTGTTGTCTTGTCCAGTAAGGTTGAGCTATATCTACCGCCGGTGGGGGCAATATCCCTCCAATTTCGATCCTTGAAGTAGGAGCGGCCATCTCTGTCGATCTCCCCTCTCACCCGCTTGATAAAGGCACCTTGTGCATGCCCAAATTGCTTATTATCCAGCAGCGTCATTGTTGCAGCAATGCCATCATTGTGGACAGTCACCGTGGAACCGAATCAGTTCAAAAAGTGGGGCTTGAATTTGGCGGTGTAATACGATATTTCGAACTCTAAACATGATTTTTGGGGCCCAAGACTGAATATTTCGAAAGGAGTGATATGAGTGGAAAATAAAGTACGCCCTAGGGTCCCCAAGGAGGCTAATTCTATCGATAGAACGTTGAGATATAAAGGGCATGGATTGATAGATTTAGTGCTGTCCAAGCATGACGAATGTGCAGATTTAGGTAGTGTCTGTCTGTCTGTAGGTCGGTGCCCTCCTTTTCTCTTTTTTTTTTTCTCTTCTTCGCGGGAACCAGTAATTTCGCAGACCAAAAAGAGATGCCACTTCTTTAGCAACCACCATCTTCCTCTTCAATAGTTGAACGAGGGACAGGGACACAAAAGAAGCCACTTCTTCATCAGCAACTACCGACGCGTCTTCCTCTTCGAACTTGAACCTTTCTTTCCGGTTGACAGCAACATCTACTACTATTAGCTAGTTAGCCAGAAGATTAAATAGATCTATCTTCTATCTTGATAATCTGAAAAGAAGAAGCAAAATGGCATCTCTGTTTTGTTGTCTCAAAAGCCGTCAGGCGGCCAAGTTTGCTGATTCGATGAACCGGGCAGAGGACATGGCCAAGAAGGAGACAGTGCAGTTCAACAAGGATATTCAACAGTCTCTCATTAACAAGGTGGCCCAAAAGGACCTCGTTGTCCCGCGAGTGGCAGTGGGTCGACACCCCAAGGCAGAATTCCGAATGACAGCAGCAGACGAGCAAGACGGATCAACCGTTACTATCACGGGAACCATTCACTTTCAGTGTGCCACGGGGTGTGAAAAGCATACCACTTGCAGTGGCGAGAACCACAACATTACCGGGTCGGGTGAATATGCCGATGGGAGTGGCCGTACAATTGAAATAACGCAGGGATCTTGGTCACCGGCAGGCTACTGCTTTTGGATTGAAAAGAAAAGAGATGCATCTAATACTGGGAATGATGAAGCCGAAGACGATAAGAAGAGTCCATCGTCTTTTGTGATTCACGATTTCGCCCATGAAGATTGTCAAACTGTCACGACCTTGGAAGCCAATGGTAGCAAAACTCGAAGTACTCGTACCTTTCAGTTATTGGTGGACGACAAAGACGATAGCAATACTCCACAGCCTCTCTGTCCATCAGTATACACTGCTCTCGACTTGGGCAAGCATGAAAAATAAACTGCTTGTTTCAATCTATCTGATAAAACGCTGCTGGATAGCCGCAGAAAACCGACTAAAACGGGTGACAATCCCTAAGCAATGGAAGGGTGCAGAGCCTTGTCCGATTGGTGAAATCCTTGCCTCTGAGTGGAGTCGAGTCCCCGGATGTCTTTACCGAACCATGGTAGGCACGACCAATTAAGCTCCAATGCAAGTTATTCATATGCCAGCTACTACATCTAGTATGTTTGCAGGAATCTTGATTCTATGTATGTTTTTATTTTATTATGTACCGGTATTTTAAAAAACTGCAGTCGCAACCCACAACATACAATGCCCCGTTCTCCTACCAATGTTTTTTGTACACCTCCTACTCAGGACGCAAAACGTGCCACATATCCTCCACTTGGGTCAGAGCTTCCTCATAAGGTGCCATGGCGAGACAAGTTTGGCGACATTCTTCCACTAATTCCGCGGGTGGCATGAGATCTTGCAATGGATAGACTTTCATCTTGCTGACCAACAGCCAATGTTCCCATCTTTCCATGTCCAATTCCATGTGGACTTTAAGGGTGCAAGGATCTACATAGCGCGACGACCCCTCTGGGATTTGTCCCGCCACTCTGGACACACGTTCCATGCACGTTGGTGCCTTGAGTCGCCGCAGAGGCGTGGCTAACAAGACAAGCCTCTCATCACAACCTGGTGCTGACGGCAATTGCAGCAAACACATTCCGGGTCGGTAGGCAAACCGAAAGATATCATCCACACTGGCGGGGTTCCATCCAGGAGGTGGAACAAAATTGTTGTATTGGTGCCGTAACGTCACTATTGTTGGTTGTTGGTCTCCTTTCCGTTGTTCGTTCCAATCCAAAACAAAACCTTTCGATTGAGTGGCCCGATTGAAGGAAAAGGTCCCATCGGGCCAAAAGGTGTGAATTTCCACTTGAGAGCCATCATCTGTTGGTGCAATGGGAGTATGGAATTGTCCATCCAACCATTCTGGCTGTCGTCTCAGCAATTTCAACTGGGGCAGTTTGTCTCGCAACACAAATGTGCCCTGGTACGTTGTATTTTGACAAAACGTAATGTCAATTTCTTCCAAGGTTCTATCAGTAGTATTTCGAGTCAAGTATTCCAGTCCTCGATCCGTGACACCCAGTGATCGTCGCATCCGAATGACAGATAGCCGAGGCAACCCGCCCGATATCGTGAGAGATCCGAGCAACTCATCTGTGGCAAGGGATGGAAGATCCAGCACCCGTAAATTGGAGTAACAGGATAGAGCTATTGTCAAGGGAAGGACACAATTCAATTTGCTCTTTAGGTCATCTTCCTTGGATCCTTTCATATTCAAAACGTCCACCGACGCATGAGGCGTTGCCTGAGCTATCGTGAGGCGGTGCTGGAACCAAAAGCGACGATTCAGGGCAAAGACACTCTTGTGGGCTTCTGAAAAGGTCAGATACTCCACAATTTGGGCCAGGAGGCTCTCAGGTACCATTTGCTCAATCAGGGAAAGGTGCCCTGCATCGTGGTTGGAACTCTCTTCACTCATTGTTGTTATTGAAATGGAACATCCCATGGTCAACGCAACGCAACCGAGCATTGATGTCAAACGCTGTTTGCTTTTTGGAGGCTAGCTAGCTAGGAAAGTTATGGGGGTACTGGTAATAGGTATCAAACTGTGGGTAACAGGCACCATTGCCCAAATAGAGTCGGCACGTTGTTTTCAGCCTGATTCAGTTCCCTTTACATGACTCAGCTGCGTGGGAGTAGGGGCTGTGGTACTGTGGCTGGTACTGAAATTGGCACAGTGAATAAACTCTGTTACCACCCACACCCTTGAGAATGGGTCAAGGGTGTGGGTGGAAACAGACCACAGCGATTAGAGGACAGGGTGGAAACAGAAACCCAAGGGCATGAGTGTGGGTAGAAAAAGTTCCAAGCTGATCCTGGGATCTACCAGCTGTCTAAAAAAGTGAGATGCCGGGACCAGCCAAAGGTCCCAACCAACCTAATTACACACAACACGACACATGTAGCAATGTCCCCCATTTTTATGTTGTGGTGTAAGAAGAAACAACAGATAACTGATTTTGAAAGAGATACACAGATACAAGCAAGAAGTATACAAGCAACAGATTTGAAGATTTGATGAAACATGAGTAGAGTAAAAAACATATTAGAGATTACTTAGGATGGAAGGAAGGAAAAGGGAGCACAAGAGTCAAACGGTGTGAAGATAAAAATTTATGTGGATGGTGATTTGTACAACAAAAACCAAATCAAACAAGTTAAATGACATGCACCAAGTTTGGACGCAAAGAAGTGGGAAGTAAAAGGGAAAATTTATCAAGCCAGGTGGACATAAAATAATGAGGGAAGGATGAAAAAGATTTGAACGGAAGCTAGGAGCGAGCTTTGCATTGGTAATTGGAGAAACAAATATTTTAAGAAGGTAAAGTATGGGTTGGATTGAGATTTGTAAAAGAGTAAATGTTAGTAAATGGTAGGATGAGATAGAGTTGGGCTGAAAGTGTACGTAGTTACCATTGGTGATTAGATTTCATCAGGTAACTTATTTTACATGGACAATTGTAGATTGTTTTAGAAAGGACCAACACAGACGAAAGGACTGAAACAATTTAATCTCGAGACAGTAAGGGAAAACATTGAAGCTACATTAAAGCTTGAGGAGATCAGACGGCTTAACATGTAACACCTATTTAAGTAGAAAACATGAAGATGAAAGATAAGATTACAAACATAGAACTACTAACATGTAGTTTAGATAGGCATGCTTTCAGGATCAGCACCGTCACTAGCATGAGCATAGCGTATGGAAAGTACAAATATACTAATAGACGTGTACCGTGTACAAACAATGGATATCCACGGTACAAAACAAGCAAAAGTACCTTTTTTACTTTTTTATATACGGTATTTACTAAAGTGGGATCTACAATAGTGGAACATTGAATAAAATTATTTGAGTTTATATATAGGAATTCAGAATTATTCTTGTGAATATTGAATTTAAGTTACGCAGTATACGTAGTCAACAACAAAAGCAGAGGGTAGGGTAATGTATAAGTAATCCTGTAGCAAAGCTAAAGATCTAAAGGGTTAAATGAAATGTATTTGGGTGAGTAAATGGTTTTTGGAAGTTTTTGATATGGTCAATACACCAAATGACTCCATATAAGAACCCTGGCTGGTGAGTGCGTGTTTGGGTGTTGAGTAGACGATAAGATTATGGGAATTTGTGGGTTAGCCTTTTAGTGCCTAACGTAATAATAAGGTATGTATGATAGGACGTAACATACACAGTACATAACAAAAAATACACGTACTCCCGTAATTAAAAGAGTTATTTTTTGATGAAAGAAGACAAGGAGTAGGGTTTTATACAAAAAGTGAATGAGGGTGAAAAAGGAGGCGAAGTTCAAAACACAACAAGGAAGGGCAGAAAGAGGCAAAACGGAAGGACATTATAAAAAACTGGTAGACATTGAATGATTGTTTGATATTTTGTCACATTCAGATTTTACTTGCACTGTGTAATAATTAAAACTCATTTATAAGATCCAAACAAGCCAAAAATAAAAAGAAAGAGGGCCTATAAATTTGCCTGACTAACGTCCAACAGATAAGAATAAGATAAGCAACAAAACATGATGAATGTTTATTTTAAGATACGACCAGGAGTTTAGCGAAGAATATCGGGCATAAGTGGAACCAAAGGGAAGGGCATGCAAAGTATAAGAAAAATAAAAACGGGAGGAATCGATTATACCACTGAACCAGGGAATACCAGTTGACAAGAAGGAGATGAGGACTGGATTGTCAAGAAACAGGAAACAAAGAGTGGACAGAGAAACGTAGAAAAATCCAAACTATATACACAAAGAAACTGAAAGATATACAAGATTGAACAGTACGAGCCCATAGAAGATTTGGAAATGGGAGAACTTTTGGCCAATGGTGCACTGAGAAGATAAGAGAAATCAAGTCCGTTCTTCAGTGTGTAGAAAGACATGGAAAGCAACATACAGGTCAGAACAAAGCAGATATGTATTAACATATGACTCACCAAGTTGTGTGAGCACAAGCAAAACAAAAGTGATATCAAGGGAAAAAGACCTGGTAATGGAGGGGTATCAGTCTTTTGTAACTAGCTGAATAATTGAAAAAATTATAGGGTCAGGGAATTTGAATACTAGGGGTCTAGGGTATGACCAAGAAACGGGGGGATTGATGGGATTTATTTATAGTATTGCATAGTTTGGAAAAGACGTAAAAGAATAAAGAATGGAGGGTGGACGTCACCAGAACAGCAAAAAAAAAGTTAATGAGATGGGACCAGAGATTGTACCAGTGGGGCATGACAAAAGTGAGACGTTACACGGACTACGAAGAAGAAGTTCTTAGGGAGGACTAGTACGGAATAGGACGCCAACGGACAAAGAAGAAGTAGATAACTTTAGATAGAACAGTTACCATTATGGGACGGCACGAGCACAGCGATAAACACAATGATGTCGAGGTTATACCAAGTTGCAATTGGCACCTACGTAGTCAAACAAGAAAAACGAATCATATAAGACAGAATAAGGTAAGACATTCTTATTGAAAAAGAGTAAAACAATAAAAAAGTTGTATTGTTGATCAAGAAGAAATAATGATACAACCTACCATTGAAATTACTATTTTTATTAAACGCAAGAAAAGTAGGGTTATTTGTTTTTGCCAAGAAGTAAGAGTAAAGTTGTTGGATTCTCGGCCTTTGCGGATGATGGAGTCTTCAAAAGCAATATCCTGACCAAGGATTTCAATCTGTTAACAACAGGCACAAAACACGGAAAAGGTTAAGGAACACCTGTAGGTGGATGAACTGGCTCTGTTACATGAAATCATCTAGGTACTACACAGGTTACTGATTGATATACATTGACTAAACATGTAGTTATAATTATTTCACTTTAAGAACGCAGAATAACATGGGAAAGTAGTAGTAGAGAGTAAGTAACTTATTGGTCTTTTAAGAGGATAGGACGTGTAATCATATTATGCGTGTGTTCGTACAAAGAGAAATTCATGGAATCTGTGGAACGATATTTTGAAAGCGTTAAGGGGCAGAGTAAGTGAAGGAAAAGAGTTGAATTTGGGGACCGTAGTAATGACCCATTGAACAAAAAATCAGTGGAATGTGTACGGTCAACGAAAGGATTGTTGAAGCAGGGGAATTCTAAAGGAAATGTGAAAAGGAATGAAATTATAATGTTTTGTGATGGTATCTAAATTTGTTGGATGGTAGAAAAGAGAGAAATAAGGCAGTTTGGAAGTTATATGAAGGTAAGAGATGGGGGTTGTAGAGGTAGGTAAGGTGTAGGCTGAGAATAGGGGTTAGTTGTG